GCGATGATTATTGACCCGGATGTGCTTGTCAAAAAGGAGAAAAGACTTTATCTTTTTTAACAAGTCAGACAATGAGAGTGCAAAACCTGATGTGTTGGAGCCACCTATCTAAAAACCTCATAGCTTACCTCTCACATGGTGAGAAGTCAATGAGGGACACGCCTTGATGACTGAACCTCTGGATCTGTTTAAACTTCTCTCCGCCCCACAATGCAATGCCACGCTGATGGAAGGTGGCCAGGTAGGTGCCTTTGGGAGACCAGCGAACGTACGTCTCTGTCCAGCGCTGCATCCAAACACAGACATATTTAAGGCTTCTGCATATCCTCTCGCCCTACGTAAGGCTGCAGGCTACGTACCGCTCTCTCCTCAGCCAAGATCGGGTCTTTGGCATCATTTGCGAAAATGGCCGTCCTCTCGCCGGCTTCATAGATAACACTGTACTGGTCCCGGCAGTCTGAGTCCTCGATCCAGTGACGCATGTTACCCTGCATAGAAAAAACAGTTAACAACGATTTCCTGATTAAAACGACACAAATCAAAGAGATAGCAAAATAAAACTGACAAAATCTTTGAAGGGCTGTTTCTCTGGAGCTTCCCACTCATCAGTGATGTTCATATACCTGACAACAGGATAAAAGAGGGAGAACTTGTTAGTTAATGTGATAGGGATGCATGCAGGCCAAATGACCGATGCTTCACGTACTTATCAAAATCAGTGAAGAGGTTGACTCTGAATGTATGCTGTTTGTCCAGTTTGTAACCATCTGCATTCTTCACTGCCTCCGCAGCCTGAGTGGGAGCAGCGTACTCCAAAAAGATGTACCTACCAAGAGAGAGAGTCCACTTAGCATCTTAAACTCCAGCTACTAAAACAAACAAAGAAAAAGGTGGGAGCAGAAGGCCCAGACGGGTCCTACCCTTTGGTCATGCCTTCGGCTTCAGGATAAAACTCGGTAGTGATCTTGCCAAACTTGGAGAAGATCTTGTGTATGACGTTTTTCAGTTTATCCAGCCGCTCTGGGCCGACCTGCGGGACGTTGTCCACCACAACCACAGAGTCGATCCCATCAGCCTCCTGAGGTTTCTCCCTTAGGACGTCCTCCAAGAGCTCTGAAATTAACAAACAGAAGTGACTCATTGGTTCAGCCAGTGAACACCAGCTTTTTTTGTTTTAAATAACCCGTTAACTCGTCAATTATCTTCAAATTTCTTTGGGCAGTGGGACACTATTCTTTTGTAAGAATTTATGCGACTGACTATCTGCCAAAGAAACTGTTTTACTCTCTCTCTTTTTTTTAACTATAGTTACAAATAAACATGGGTTCTATAAATATGTTACTAGTATTTAAAGCATCAAAACTTATTTTTGGTGCCATTTAAATGAAGAATGAATATCGGTGAATTGTTTCAGGACCATCCAGTTTAAATCCATCATGTCTACATTGCCTCATGCATGATAACAGTAAAATCCTTAAATCTTTGGGTTTAATGAACATGTGAACTTGGATTCATCTCATTTTGGACATTCATCGCCTACAACCTGCTTTTAACTCATTTGATAACAAGGTTCAACTTTCTAAGACATATCCATGTACTTAACTAATGCATACCATCTTGGATTTATTGTTTTCCTCCTGATGATCACCTGTTAGTCATGTTGTAATCTTTTTAAGTGATTTATTGGTATTCATCCACTGTTAAATATGGAAAAAAAAATCCATTACATTTTGTAAATCAAAGAGAATATAAAACCCTTCAGGTGGTTAGAAAAAAGGTTTTTGTTCCAGAGTGCTGCATTTGCAATCTGGTATAAAAAAAGGCTAAAATAAAATTTGTATTAGATACTATATAGACCAACATGTATCCAATGATTTAATCAAACAACCTAAAGCAGGGTTAGATTTTGGAATCCCTTTGCTCATAAATGTGGGTGTGTTCAAATTAAGAAATGGGCTGATGCTTTCTAAATCAGTTATAAAGGCAAAATTATCCAACGGCCGCTTTACCTCTGGCGATCTACAGGTACAGAAACATTTTTTTAATCTTCAAATGGACCAAAACATAGAACTTCCCCCAATTTGCGTCAATGACAACCAACAGCCTGCATTTGAATACAATGCAAAAATGGTTTAATTTTTAAGTAATTGTACAATAATGTATTAATTTAGGTTATTTTCTTCCACACAATGTGGTCTGATAAATAGTTATCAATCTATTCCATAAACATACTTCCATCTCTATTTAACTAAATACCCAGCCCCAGCTATAGGTGAACGCTTTTACAATAAATTTCTAAGATAAAATTATTCATGTCACTTTTTGAAATAACTTGTAAAGGAAAAAAAAAAAGATGTTAATGTAACTGGAGAGAAAGTAATACACATGTTTTGGTTTTCCCTGTCTCTGCTATCTTTTGGCTTTGGAGACATTTCTTCTATTTAAAATAAATAACAAACACACCATGTAAATCACACCTTAATATGTTATAATCAAACTAGAAAATATAAACCTTTAGACTTTATTACAGATTCAATACTCCTCTTTGGAAGCAGACCGATACATTGGCCGACGAGTAGGGCTGAAACAATCTTATTTATCATGATTAATTAATTATTGAAATAATCGTCAACTTATTTAGTAATGAATGATTAACTGGAGCATAGAGACTCTAAAATGAGCCTTTAGCTGACAAAGAAACCCACTTAGAGCAGTAATGACATCAAATTTGTAAAAAAAAAAAAAAAAAATTCTTGTAAACAGACTTTTACGTCAATCAGTATGCTCTATCTAGAACTACTCAAGTGGCAACATTTTAATTTCACCTGGTTCAATTTTGTAAAAATCGTCTATAAGGAACTGTTGGTTGTCCGATGATTAATCGATGAATTAAAAAACGAATCGATAGATTAATCGATTTGCAGAATAATTGTTAGTTGCAGCCCTACCAGTCAATATTAATGTTTTTTCTGTTGGATGTCTTACACCATACTGGCAGATATTGGCTAATTCATTGGTGCATTCAGCAGCCATGCCTTGAGGTTAAGTAAGCTCCTTACATTTGCCGCCAGTTATCAAAGTTTGCTTTGATTTGTTAATAAATGTTGCTATTTGTTTTAATCGAGACTTGCGTAACATTTGTTACTATAAGTTCATCTGTAATCATATAAACGGTGGACCAGGAGGTAATATTAGCTTCAAAAATCAGCCCTTCAAAATAAAATAAGCAGTATTTAAAGGGGATTGGTCAGGCAGATGTCAAAAGAAATCAACATCCCCCTTAAAAAAACAAAACAGTATCTGTGGATCTTTACTTCTGCTGCAGAAAGCAAGTTTCTCCAGTCCTTCCCAAGCATCTGTAGCTTTTTTTGTGAATTTCTTTCTAGTCAATTACAAATGGAAACACTGCTGCATTTCTAACCCTTTACAGGGCAAGTTACTGTTTTTGATCACTTGCATATCTCTAACAAATGGAGTCCCCCGCTTCCCTTTGTGAGGTCTAGAAGCACAAGATCTATATCCAGCCATTCAGCAAAGATACTGCACATCTTATTTTGGCATTTGACCAATTAGATGAGCCCTTGAATGATATATTACCTACTGTAAATTAAGTGGAAAAAAAGTGGAGAAAAAAAAGGTAAAAAGTTAATTGAAAAGTTAAAAAGGAAATAAGCCTAGTTAACAATTATACTTAGGTTTATAAACAAAAAAATGTCAGTATCGGCATTAATGCCTCTGAGGTTATGTTGGAGCAAAAAAATTAGTTTCTTTCACTTTGAGTGTTTTTCATGAATTTCTTCTAGAAGCACTTTTGTTATTTTTCTTAATATTTTCAGGCAAGTAGGCGTTTCTTGTTATTATATTGACATTGTTTGCCATCAAAATATCCATATTTTTTTTTATGTTACAAAGGTAATAAGGTCTTTTCCTGGATTCAAATAACACTATTGGCTTGAAATTTGGATTTTCAAAGGATTTCATTGAGGCCCTATAAAGGGTTAAAACTCCTTGTTCTTCTGATTAAAAAGGCTAACATTTGGGCCTTCCTTTATATTTTTCACTTTTATTTCTTATTTGCAGAATATTATTTCATATACATGCACTGATGTCAAACAAGGGAACAAATTAAAGTTTTACTGGGGTGGGGGGTGGGAGTATGTTTATAATAATTAAAATGAAGTTTTAAATATTTTATGCATTACTTATTGGTGGTTTTTAAAACATATTTAGCATTTAAATAGGAGGAATTCTCCTAAATGGGTCTGAGACCATTTTAACCATATGTTTCCTTAGGTCAAATAATTGGAAATGTAATGCTTTGAATTATTCGTCCGATATACGCCAAGACTTAAAAACATTCAGTTTAATAGTAAAAAAAAAAGAAAAGAAAAAAACGGATGGACTGGGAGAGGCTACAACGGTCGTTTAAATGAGGGGTCCTCAAGGAGAAAATGTTTATTTCAGTTCGTCAAGACAGAATATCTAGCCATTATGGCATTTATAAATGTATTAAGTTCCAATAAATAAGATGCAATTAAGTTAGTCATCTGTTCGTCTAAATTCCCACCACCTTAGTATATTGGCTAACGGTTAGCAACAGGCCGGAAAGCCGGCGTTTTTCCTGCCGCCGCTCACCCTCATCCTCGATGTCATCCTCGAAGTCCTCCGGGTCGCTGAAGGAGGGCTCCTCCTCCTCGTACTCGGGGTCATCCACCATAGCCGCCGTATCTTGCATTTACCGAGACCAAAAGATGAAGCTTTTGTGAACAGAGGGGAAAGGAATCCCTGGAAAACGTGAGGCTAGCGATGATCGGCCGGTGCGGCACCATGTGCGAAAATGGACGAAGAGGCGGAAACAGAGTGACGGAAGCGGCTAGTAGGCGCGTGAGAGCGCTGCGGAGAAAACACAGATCTATATACTATAGGGATGGGTAGCCAACGGGAAATTTAAACCGTTAGGTGACACAAGAATAATAAAGATCTACAACCTTGCAGCTTTTCTTTTCTTTTTTTTCTCGGCAATGTGAAATTACTTCCCGCGAGATAAAATCGAGATTAACTGAATGAAAAATATAAAAATTTGATTCGTTTTAGCTAGCTGAGGTTACCGGAGTTAAACCGAATGTCGCTTAGAGTTTATTAAACGTGCTATTCTAATGGACATCCAGTGTGTTTCAGTCCTGCCTCGGGTGTGTGAGGTGCTAGCGGCGTCAGCAAGCTCTTTACCAGATGACACCAGTCTGGAGAAACTACTAGACTGGTTCACAGCCACCACAAACACTGGTTAGTAAAGACATTTATTAGAACATCCATCTATGAAAACAGAATCCCATGTTATAGAGCGACTGTTTAATCTGTATCAGAGCTTTGCAGAAGTTTCTTCAACCCTAAACTCAAGTCACGTAACAAAGACAAAACTTCCATCTATTTTAAATAGTGCAATCTACAATAAAAGTCCATCTACATATTATTTGTTTAAATCCAAATGATCACTTAAGGCTACAGTGTTTTGTTTTACTTATTAGTAACCAAATAGCATCATAAGGACCAAGCTAGGCAGCAGAAATGTCAGGGACAGAGTTTTGTACCATGACCAGGTCAGGTGTTTTTAACTTTGGAGGATCTGCAGAGATCCTCAGCTCGGGTAGGAGAATCTTATCAAATCAGATCACAACCATCAGATTGGTGAAGTGTGGCCCCGATTGGAAGGCTGAGCATTAACAATATTCAGAGCAATTCTCTAAACCAGACCCACCCAGCAGTAAAAAAAAAAAAAAAAAAAAAAAAAATAGAACCAGACCATATCGTTGGCCTGAATGGCCTATTCCAAGTCCATCCGTCTAAATTGTGCTGCATCTGCTTTACAAAGAGAAGTGGGCACAATATGTGGAAAGCTGGTAGAGATGTGTCTGTGGTCTATAACTGCAGTAACATGTGGATCTTTAAAGTATTGAATCAGGCAGGGCTATACAAATGCATAACGCATTTCTCAAATTTTTATAATCCTTTTGATTCCGAAAAATATGGATTAACTTTCCTTCTGCTTTACATTGCAAACTACTTTTCATTCGTCCTATAATGCAATGAGGTTTAAAAAGTTAAGTATTGTATTATATTTCCACATAAAGAATAAATTAGTATAATTCGATTTTTCTGGATTGTGAAATAGCCTGATTTACATGCCCCCATTAATCTGCTTATTTTTCTGTGTGTTTTTACTCCATGAAGGCGTATCTCTGCTGGAGGCTGCCCCATGTTTGCTTGATTTTATATCCAACGTCGCCTTCAGCTCCACCTCAGGCCCCGGCATCCTTTCTTTCACCCTCAAACTCACTGGTTTGATTGCTGCTTCTGAGGATGGCTTTAAAGCTCTGGAAGTAGGAACATCCAAGTAATCCTTGATCCAGTATCCCCTTTTCCTCACCCCTTCATCAAGTTATCTTTTTTTGCAGGAGTGCTCTGTGTTGAAGCTCATCTTTGATCCTCATCACTGGAAAGAAGCGGGGCTTTGGGAGGATCCATGCCTTCGGATCGGTTGGATCCAGGGCCTGAGGAAGATGCTGCAGCACTCCAAAGCTCTCAGACTTTTTGTGCAAGCTGGTAATTCATCACGTAGCGCGCTTTTTTATTCCTCTTCGCTCAACAATACTGTCGTACAAGAACACTGGTGTTGTTTCTCTGTTGTCTGCAGATCTTATTGAACCACTCCTCCAGCTTCAGACAGACTCAAGCCTGTTTGTTTCTTCAGCTGCCAATCAGCTGCTGGCTCACGTGCTGCTGCTTTATCAGTCTCTGTCCTCTGTGGGATGTAATGGAGCAAATAAAAGAGATTTAGAGCACAGCGGTGTGAGCGAGCAAACCATCATAAGTTGCAGTGGAATCATCACAAACGTCTCAGAATATCTTAAAAAGTCTTTGGTCCTTAAGGAAAGTTCACACCCCCCTCAGAGTCAGCAGATCCTCAAACTACTGACTCTGCTCCTGGTCCAGCTAAGGCCTCCTCTGCAGGAACAGCTGCTTCTGACTGTCATAGACTCTTTAGAGGAACTGGTGACCAAAAGATGGAGTCTTCCTCTGATGGACGTCATTCTAGCTGCAAACAGGTGGGATGAGAACAACTTTATACCGCTGCTATGTAGCCAGCAGAGACTGTGTTTCTGATTTAGATTAGCCTATGAAAACCAATGATTGGAGTCAGCAGTCAGGAATATTTGTTTTATTTTATCACTTGTACTATTGAATACATCAGGAGAACAAAATAAGAGGCAAACATTTGATTCTGACAAAAAAAATATACATTTATAAAACATCACATGCCTGCTGTGACGCCTTTATCAGTACAGACTAGGGGTGGGCATTCATCATATTGTTTATCATTATACATTTCTAGTCATTGTAATATATTTATAATAAGGTAATCATTGATTTATCATCATAAAATGAGTGACAATAAAAGAAAAACAAAATTATTTAACTCTGGCATTAGAAAAGACAGGGAATATGTTTAAATGCAGCTACTGCAGGATGTTTAGTGATATAAATCAGACTTCTCTATAAAATTAGTGCCCCAAAGAAGTCTATTTTGAATTTAAGGGGTGTTTGTAATTGTAGGGCTTTCAGTCACAGTTAGAAAGTTACCTAAAATGACTTGAAAGTACTAATGAAGAGTGCTTTCATCAAGAATTTTACTTATATAAGAATAGTAGCACTAAATATTCTGATAAGAACCATATCACCCAGACCTAATAAAGAGAGATGCTGGTAAAGCAGTTAGGTTTTAGACAAATTTTATTTTCATTTTGCATGCACAGTGTGTACAAATCTAAATTTCGTTGCATGCAACTTACAAGAGTTTTATTATATTGCAGCTGGACTGAGATAAACATTACCAATAGAAAATGCAGCAGTAATCAGAATGTAAACAATTTCAAGTAAAGGAAACCAGTTTTAAATAATGTTGCAAAGGGCATTAATAGGAAAAAGTGCAGTGCAAAATAAATATGGTGCAAAATGTAGTAAAACATTGAGCTGCGTCCTATTTAAAGGATTATTAAAGTTCAGCAACGATGGTAGTGCAACATATTTTTATATGCTGGACTGATTTAAGACTATATTTTTAAAACTGCAGATAAACAAGAAACCTGAGTCTGAACTGCTGAATTTGAATGAATGAATTCATGTTTGTTTCACAGCAGCCTCGAGGATGATTGTGTCTCAAAAAAGCAGATCGTCCGACTTCTGTCCAGCATGTTGAACATGAAGAAACCTGCTGACGTCATTCAGGTTGCAGCTGCCTTTTTACGCAGCCGCCAGCAGTAAGTGTCCGTTTGCACGCAGCAAAGCTGTAAAATCCTTTGATTTTCCCGTTAAAGCAAAGCCTGCTATCTGGTGTTTTCCTCCTGTGGTTGTGTGTTCAGTGATCCCACCCATGCTGCCTACGCTGCTGGAGTCCTGCTGCTACCCCTGGACATTGTCACTGGCATCTCTCTGCTAAAAACAAATTCCACAGGTGAAACTGACAGACTATCTGGTTTCATGCAATAAATGTGTGTAAAGCCCGCCCCCACATTTAAAGCACATGTTCTCTGTTCCAGGAGTTGAGCTTCGGATTTTAATGACCGAGCAGCTTAAGAGTAAAAGCTGCATCTCCATGATCTGTGTGTGTCTGACAAACATACCTCAGATCACAGTAATGGTGGGTAAAGTTACCAGAAAGCAGGAGCTTCTGCTCTCTTCATGTTCTGCTCAGACCTTCACATGGATCTGATCTGTTTTTACCAACAGGCTCCAGATTGCCTCCCCTGTCCTCAGAGGCTGATAGTCGCTGCAGTTCTGACCTTCCTGAGGCTGTGCCGTGGGGATTCCTCATCTTCATCCACCGGCTGTTGTGAAGTATCCCGATTCGTTACTGGCAGCAGCAAAGTCCAGAAATGTGCCATGGAGGCTCTGTCCGAGCTCAGCAAGAGTCCAGGTAAAACTGGTAGGAAGAAAAACGTCGAAGATCTCTGAAACACTGTGGATAGTCCTATAGGAACGGCTGCTCTGACCTAGTTTTAAGCTTATTCTGTTTTACTTCATATAAACCTCTATTTCATTTAATTTTCTATTTGTTTATCAATTCCTAAATTTTATTTTGTTTAGTTCTGCTGTGTTTTTAATTTGGCTTATTTATGTTTTAGACAATTAATGATCAGACAAAATCTTAACACCTCATTATACATTTTGATATGGATAAAAAAAATGATACTTTTTTTTACGAATTTCTTTTCTATGTTACTTTTTAAATTTCTATCTTTTTGTGTCTTCTGGCTAAAGTATTTTTATAAAATGTTATGTTTTTACGCTTACATTTATTTTAGTTCTTTGCTTTTCCCATTGTAGCGACTATCGGCCACCTTTTTAATCGCTTCAGGGTGCGGGGAATCTTGGCATTAACAAAATGATGTCCAGACTGGGAGATAAGTTATGGGCGTTCCCATTTATTAAAGTCAGTTTGTAAATGAACAAACAATCCTAGTGGCAGTCTTTTACAACAAGTAACAAGATATTCTGTAAAACTTTAAAAACAATCCACTGGACTTGGTTTCCAAGGTTTGAAGACGTTTCACTTTCCCTACAGGAAGCTTTCTCAATTCCTGGAAGGGAAGCGAAACGTCTTCAAACCTTGGAAACCAAGTCCAGTAGATTGTTTTGAAACTTTTACGGAATGACTATGACCTGGATGACAGAGACTCCTCATCAGCAAGTAACAGGATAGTTACAGGTGGACAGGTAATTATGGAGAGTGTGGATATGACAGAACTTAACCAGTGGACGTTGGCTAGTGTGTGTCAAAGAAAGCCGTAAAAACCCTTTCTGCCCTTTATAAAAAAAAACAAAAAACACACACCGCCACCAGTGGTAGAGCAAATAAGGTCAGTTTGTCGACCACCACCCAAACCAAATAAACCAGAAAAACACATAGCTAAACCCCAATAACTATAAATGGCTCCTACACACATTTTAACAAGAAAAGTAAGATTCTAAAGTGAGCAAATTAATTCAGTCACCACAAAAATATTTGCTCTAAACAAAATGGAAAAAGAAAATGTTGTGGAACTTCAAATAAAGTAAATACCACATGAGCTTTGTTAGTTTATCTTTTATCCTGTTCTGTTCTTGTGTTTTCTTAGAAGCTGAGGCCCTGCTGGCTGACGTCTTCAAGCTTCTGACTGAATATCTGAACAGTCCTGATTCTGACCCAACCGTGAGTTTTGTGTGTTTAAACCTTTGTTTGACCGTAGTCACACATCATAAAACACTTCAAGAAGTCTCATTTATCAGGTGGGGAGACATCAGAACCTTTACATGAAGGTGTCTCAGATTCTAGCTGCCAGCTGATTTCCCTCTCTTATGTTTTTAAATAAATTATTCCTGCAGTGAAACGGTCGATTTATTAAAAGATAATAAATCTTTGCTACCCATCTGTACTCCTAGTTAGTTAGTTTTGGTGCTCAGCAGGGTCCTAGTCTTGGATCCTTTTATTTGTGATGTTTGGATCCAATCGCTGTTAAAGTCCCCGATTAATCAAAAGACCAACTTATACTTCTGTCGCATAGCCTCTGCAACCGTCAAATTTGTTTCTGTGCGCGACCACGCCCCCCGCGCAGAGGCTCATCGGACCGTCGCAAACCCGCACAGACCTGAAGCAGAAGTTTGCAGACAAAAATAAGCTGTGATTGGTCCTTGGTATGCCTTTCCGGCTGTCTGTGTGGTCGTCTTCCTCAACTCAGATCCGGGGTGCGCCATTTTTAAAAACTGAGGAGTAAAAACAACAATGGATAACCACAACAAAAGGTTGATCGAGGAGGTTCAGAAGTACAACCACTTTTATGATGCCTCAGACATGTTGTTTTGGAAAATAAGCACTCCCTCCGGCGCCGTCGGACAAGTTCTTGTGAACCTCCACCGAAGTTGTCGCCAGTTCTCAATAGGCTCCCCCTAGCGCTTTGGAGGGAAACTGCTTTGCGTCCCTAGAAATTCCAGACCGACGTTGTAGAAGCATACCAGCAAAACTGGTTCGCGACCAGAAGCAAACGACATTTTATGTGTGCGGTTGCAGAAGTATAATCCGCCCTTAAAGGAATAGTACACCCAAAACATGATTAGCCTTCATTTTCTACTCACCCCCATGCTGAACAACACTCTGGAGTACTTTTTTGATATCTCAAATGCATCTGGAGATCTGGGAGGCTTCTTGCTGTCTGCTGACATTCAAATAATGGAGGTCTATGGTGCCCGAGGCAGAAAGGTCCATAAAAGTCCGCAAAAAACGTGTCAATATTCCTCCATACTGCTCGTCCAATGTATTCCAAGTGTCCTGAGTGGGTAGCGTCTATAATTTACTCGCATGTGAGTTCACGAGTCTACGGAAACCGCGGCAGACCAAACCAGATGAAAGTGCGCATTCAGCGTCTGCTCTGCCGATAATGCAAGCGTAGAAGAAGAAATGTGCTGTTTACCTGTGCAAAGAAAGAAACAACGAAAGAAAAATGTCTGAGGACTTCAGTGTTGAGGAAGAGCATGAGTTCTTTGCCGAGCTGAATGCGCACTTTCATCTGGTTTGGTCTGCCGCGGTTTCCGTAGACTCGTGAACTCGCATGCGCATGCTTTTAGGAAATCCTATACACTACTGTTTATGCTCTAAAAACATTCTAAATGACTTAGTTTCGAGTAAATTCTGGATGCTACCCACTCAGGACACTTGGAATACATTGGACGAGCAGTATGGAGGAATATTTACACGTTTTTTGTGGACTTTTATGGACCTTTCTGTCTCGGTCACCATAGACCTCCATTATTTGAATGTCAGCAGACAGCAAGAAGCCTCCCAGATCTCCAGATGCATTTGAGATATCAAAAAAGTACTCCAGAGTGTTGTTCAGCATGGGGGTGAGTAGAAAATGAAGGCTAATCATGTTTTGGGTGTACTATTCCTTTAAGGCTGTCACTTATATTTTGTCTAGCATTTTGTTATCCATTCTTTTCAATTAATTTGTCATTGATATAGATTGAATTGGCTGCTGCAGCTGTCTGTCAGTGTGTCATGCGACCTGCTTCGATATTCCCATTAAACTCTATGAGTTTTCACAAAATGATAAGGCACCATAAGCAGCCTGAATTATCAGTAGACTACATATTTTATGCTCCTCCCTTTTCCTTCCTCATTGTCTTGCAGCAGCATCTACAGTGAGGCAGTTTTAGTCTGTGAGTTTGTAGCTCTTATTAAGTCATCGAATACCTTTTATGTCTGTCATGTTGATGCATTTTATTTTTCTGTTTGTTATGGTCTATTTTTATACCTTTCTAATAACCTAATCTTTGTGCCCCAGGTGCTCCAGAAGTCATACAAGGCTTTGATAAACTGGATACGTGTTTGCAGGGACTTCTCATGCATTACTGACCAGCTCAGAGAAGGTAGAGCTCCTAGATTCCCTCTCTGGGACAGTAGCCATACATAGAGAGGAGTTATTTACCGCTCTCCTCCTTCTAGGTCTCATGCAGGCGGTGAGGAAGCGTGCTTGTGACATTCGCTGGGAGGCGAGAGACTCCACGGTGGAGTTCTTGGGTCATCTCGCAGAGGTGTGTCCCATTGGAGAGGAGAGAGAACCGTTAAAAACTCTGCTGGGCAGCTGCAGCTTTACCATTCCTCTCCTCAAGGAGGCACTGCAGGATCCAGAGAGTTACGTCAGAGCCAGCTCCATAGCCACACTGACACAGACACTGACATTCAGCTGGCAGCAGGGGGCAGCACTAACACAGGAGCAGGTAGGAAGCATTGCAGTGCCGATTTTCTTTTCCTGTCCCATTTTGACTCGCCTTGCAGTAACCTAATCTATTTCATGCCGTTTAGGTCGAAATAGTTACTCAGCTGCAGGAAATTCTCTGCAAGGACTCAGAGGGATTTGCCAGGAGGGCTGTTGTAAAGTTCTTTACTGCCTGGTTCTCCTCCTGTCCCTCGCCTACCTCCTGCTCGCTCCTCATGCAGTCTGTCCCATCCGTCCTCTCTCAGGGCGTCGCCGACCTAGACTGGGAGGTCAAACTTCACACCCTGGAGCTGGCAGAGCTGCTGCTGGACAAAGCCTTTCCAGAGCGCCCTCCTCTTCATCCCTACGCTGTAACATCTAACCAACCCCACACATGTCATGCAGGGGAAAATGAATCTGATCTGCTCTGCAGCTTGAACAGTCTGGTGGATCAAGGAGTGGTCCCAGCTTTGCTCTGTGGTCTAGTTGACTGTGACAGACCAGTTGCTCTGAAGGCCTGTCAGCTGCTGATAAAACTCAGAGACACGGTTAGTTCTCTGTTGGTGAGCACAGTAGACCCCAGAGTTTCCTGTATGCTGCCTGGACAGAGCTGGGTACAGGAGATCAGAGGGAATAAGGACGCCCACACTCAGGTAGATCCTCATGTTGGGTCTGAAAGCCCCGATGAAGCAGCGGAGGAAACCCCATGTACTGATGGTGACGCTGTGTGTGTCAGTGTGTGTGAGGTGTTGAGGACCCTGGATTTAGACAAGAAGCTGAGCGTCCTGATGCAGAGCAGCGACCACATCTACAACTCTCCTCTCTCTCTGCTGCAGGACATCCTGACAGCCAGTACCGCTGCTTCAAATCCCAACTCTGACCCGGGCCAGGAGGTCATAGTGGACTGTTATTAACAACCAGAGCCAAAAAAAACACACACTGTCTTCAAGGAGGATGCAGAATCACACAGACCAGCTCCACTATCACACCTTCTTTCACATAAACTGGTGATCTACTGTCTATATTTCCCATCATGTCGTAAAGAGTACTTGATATAATGGACACAGGATCTCAGAGGCAGAAGTATGGAGGTTTGAAATCTTTTTCTGGTCAAGATGTGTTCCTTACAGCTATGTGCCAGAAATCTCTAACCAATGCCTCATATATAAGGAGTTTTATCCTTGCGACCAATCTGTACAAACAAAGAAAGACATGTTTGCAACTCTGCTAAAGAAATTTTCAATATATTTGTGCAATAAAATGTATATTTCTATTAATTCCCTGTTCTCCTCGGGTATAAATGTGATGACACAGGCTTCATTCTCTTTGCCAGTCTTCAAAATAGGAAAGTTAAGATAAGATGCCATTCAAGTAAAGGAGGTGTCTTGACTTTCATAAGTCAGGAAATGGGTACAAGAAAACAGTTCCCATAAACTGAAACAAGGCTGGACTGAGACCCAATTTCATATCCATGCACACAGTGAGAGGAGGATGGTGAAGAAGGCAAAAATAAAAATCTCCAAAGCTCATTGCTCATATCATTAGCAAAGAGTTGCTTTATTTCAACTAGTTTTCCTGACCTATCACAAACGTAAACTTGTATGGTTAGCTAAATGCTACTGGGTTTTTAAACGAAAGCTTTGCTTTCTGTCAGGTGAGCCTGTGGTTCTTGGTAACAAATGCTTCATGTTGGTCTGGAGTTAAAGGAGGAATGAGGGGAAAAAGTCCACTGCTCAGTATGATGGAGGATCTATGATGCTGTGGGCCTGTTTCTCTTCTAAAGGCCTTTGGAAAATGATAAAGTGAAGGATGTTAGGAACTCTAGAGAATCCATGAGGTTTGAACAGAACTTTAATGTCAGAAACTTCACTTGGCCTTTCAGCAAGATCATCCAAACCCATAAACCAGAAGCGAGTATATCGACATTCCTTCAATCCTTTCTCAATCTCCAAAATCAATACCTCAGTAGACGTGGCCTGGTTTGAGCTCTTTATTTTCATTGATTTTTATTTCTCGTTTATGCTCACTAGCTAAGTAGACACACCATAACTATTGAACTTTTTCTGAGGAAGACATAAAATATTTAGGACGGGTAACCAATTAAAAATCAGCGGGGTCCGAATAAAGAAAATCAACAACCAATAAAGGTCTGGAGACATTTTTAATTATGTTACTTTAAACATAATTCATCGCTGAAATAAAATGCAGGTGTTTAAGGATCAAGGTGCTCCTTTTGAGCCTGGATCCATATTTATTTTTGATTCTGTTCACGGTGGAGAATCCTGTTTCACAGCAGCAGGTTGAGCCAACCATACTATAAATTGGTAGTGGTGATCTTTGAGCATGAAGCAGTGACCCTGACTGATACAGCTCATTGGCTAATTTGCATCACATGCAGCCTGGTGCCGGACGCTCCGGATAGCTTTATTATACAAACAGGAGAAGCGGCGCAAGTGACGTTTAGACACTGTCGTTGGACAACAAGCTGTAATTGATAAATGTTTTAAATAAGGTTGGGTCCAGATTAGCCAGTGGGTCTGGATCCGGACCACGGCCCAATACTCCATGACCTCTGGTTTAGGAGAAACTGCTGCTTCAACATAATTAAATGAGCTGGTCAAAGGGATCCAGGGGTGGACAGTATGGAACTGGCTATGATTAGTCCAACATTTAGCTAGAAGATACTGCTAATTAATAATCAGAATGAAAATAACGTACACAGATTAAGTAGATGTAGATTTTTTTTTGGTGTTTTCAGATTTTATGTTCAACAAACTTTATTTACATAGTGCCAATTTACAACACATACCATCTCCAGGTGTTTTTACAGAGTAAATTTTGTTAAATCATACAGATTGGTTGGAAAGTTTTTTGTCAAAGTAAACCCAGCAGATTGTATCTAGCCACTTTACACCATGACGCTTTCCCTCTCGGGTTATTCAAACCCTAACTCTTTGAATCTCATTCAGCAATGCACATAACCATCAAACATAACAACAGATTTTGAAAGGTATTATAATCTTACTCAGATCAGAGAAGTTGCTTTGAGTTATAGAAGGTGGCACTTACCAACTGGGCTTACTTCTCGTTGAAGTTGGGTCTTCTGTGTGGATCATCAAAATAAGCGGTCCTCCTAATTGTCAATCATTCTGGTGATATGTTTACGTAAGGCCCCATTTTCACTTACTGGTGGTGAGTCTGACAATGTGGAAAATTTTTAAATCTTCTTTTTGAAAGTGAGCTTGTATGAGTGATGCAAACAGCAACTTTTAAACAGAGCGTGCACGAGGAGAAATGGGCTCGTGTTTCCTCTCGGTAGCGGGTATTTGATTGTGCATGTGCATTTTTTTTAAAGTGCAGAGGGCGGGTCTTTTTAAAAAAAATTCACAAAAATCCTCCACTATACCTTTAAAGAAGCATTTTATAGAACCTCCATATGCCACATCATCACATCATTACCTCACATACATTTGTATCTGAGGAGACATGGCTCGAGCCATTGATGTCAAAATATTATCAACTATCACACTTAGATCTTAGATCGAGGATCCCGCTATCTTTCCATTCCCAAATCTTTGCCATATGCATAATGAACTGACTTCCACTCTGGGTCCCTGAGCAAAGACCAAAGACGTCACACTGCTCCCCAGCGACCGCAGGCACTTTGTGTCCAATTAGACAGAGGAGTCAAATTAAAGCAGGGACAGACAGCTCTATAAACTCTACAGCAAAAACTATAGTTGATGTAGTTCAAGCCTATTGTCTAATCATAATCTGAAAAATGTGTATATTCCTATGTTAGATGTGTAGAGATGATGAGAATACCAATTCTGCCAATATGGGATGAAATAAAACCCCTGATGTTAGAACAAAGACTTTATTAAGGATAGTACAACATAGAGAAATTATAAGTTCATATAAAACACAAATATAGATTTAAGTACTAAATTTCACAGGAAAAAGTAATTTTTCTACTTGATATAGCCTTTAATGATCACACGTAAACGTTTTTTTTTGGTGGGAATATCAGTTTAGCATTTTTGGCCTATTGTTATTTTCAAAAGCGTCATATATTTATCAGTAAGAGCAGGAGCTTGGAGGGATTGGACAGTTGCTCCGCAGCAATCCTTCATATGAAGCCAGCATGTAGCAACAGTGGAAGGGGAAAAAATGGTGTGAACGGCTTTCTCCCAGGACAGACCAGCAAGGACACACAGAAAAAGGAAATTATGGTGGTAAAAGTTCCCCCAAATGTCTTCATTTAGCTAAGCAGATGAGCTCAGAGTCAGTTTCAAATCAGGAGGAGGGAGAACCGTTACAGTTAACCCTCTGTCAACTTCACTAAATGATGGATATTCCTCTTACTGCTTGTGAACATCAATAAATTCCTGATGTATCCATATATGCCTGCTGTCAAATACAAGCCTATTGCTTGTCTGCATGCATGTGCTCCCCGCTATGTCCGCATCAGAACCATTTCTTTGACTGCACAGCGTCTCTGACTGTAAAATAAAGTAATTACTTAAGTGGGCACTGGATGAGGAGATTTAAGAGATTAAATATTACACAACATGAAAGGACCACGCTGTTTCAGGATGCCATGGTTATTCTGCTGCTTCCACCTTAAAATCACAGCATAGTTCAAGACTTAACTTGAATTTAAGGTATAGTTTGGAATCCTGCTGTTGTTCTGAGTTATTCATTATAGTAACAGGTCAGTGCACTTCATTGGAAACACACTGTGTGAGCTGGAGGTTAGAGCCACACCTTACCTTGCAACAGCATCAGGGGGGGAAGCTACAGAACACTGATCACTATGGGTTATATTGAGTGGAATTCACAGGATGGATATAAGGTTACACTTTGAGTTAAAATTTATAGATTTAATATATCAACTAAGTTTTTTATGCTTTACCTATAAAGTTTAAGACAGAACAATTTATTGTAAAGTAAGACTGATTGGGAAGAGCAATTGTTTGCTTACAGATCGAACACATGCAGTGGATAACCTTAGCTTTCTTCCATTACCGTTGTTTAAACATTTGAAAGATTTTTATTAGAAACAGTTTCTAATGATTTTCTAAAATTATACTCTCATTTTGTTTGTCGGCCTGACTTGTGTTGAAATAATATGTGAGGCTTTTTATATCAGATCTCTTCTGGATCACAATCTAATTTATCTTTTTCTAAGATATCCAAGTCACCTTCAATGTTTTGTTACAGGACTTCCACAAATAGAGGATTTGGATAACTGTATGTAACCAACCGTCACAAAGCACTGCACAGCTTTGAAAGGCGGGGTGGGGTGGGGTCAATAGAAATCTAAAAGGAGTGTCTTGTATATTAATTCATGCCTGATTGGTAACAGCAGATTCTCCCACCTGAGCGGTTGGTCTCTGTTGGTCCTCCAGAACTGTCACTGACCTCTTGGTTGACAATGGCGTCAGGTTCAGGGGTTTGCCCTGCAATCGCAGGGTTGTTGGTTTGAGCCCCAGCTCTGGCTTTGTGTCTTTTGGCAAGACACTTCACACTGTAAAAACGACAACTCAAAATTGTTCACCTTACTAAGATTTTTGCATTCACTGACAATAAAATTGCCAGTTGGAACTTGAACTGTCTGTTGTGAGCCAGTTGAACTCACTTTCATAAGTTTCTGATGAAAAGTTCATCTTATTCAATAAATTAAGTTGAGTTTACTTAGAAGTTGTAGTTGACACCCAGTCCGAGCGAGGTCAACTTATCTGCGCATGCTCATTTCAAATTTGTCATGGCAACCGGCTGCTACAGGGTTTCCATGGATTTTCCCAGGAGCTCCCTTCTAAAGTTTGGTTCAGCCATCTGGTCACTCTGCTGGCGGTAACTTTCCCTGAGGACTCGTGCAAGAGAAGACTAAGGCACTAGTTTCCTGTCATCTCTGGCAATATTGCATTATTTGTAAGGTTTTAACAGGAGTTGGAAAGTAAAAAAAATATGTGCTGAAACCTGATTTGCTTTAAGCATAAGATTACCTGTTTACAATGTGAAATTGTAAACCTGTTTTTGCCAAAGTGGTTCAAATAAACATCCAAAATTTAACTGGATTACTGTCAGGGCTGCTCGGTGGCGCAGTGGGTAGCACTGCTGTCTTGCAGCAAGAAGGTTCTGGGCTCGATTCCTGGCCTGGGGTCTTTCTGCATGAAGTTTGCAGAAGACCCCCAGAAAGACCTGGGGTCTTTCTACATGAAGTTTGCATGTTCTTCCTGAGCATGTGTGTGTTCTCTCTGGGTACTCCGGCCTCGTCCAAAAACATGACTGTTAGGTTGATTGGCTTCTCTACATTGTTGAGTGTGTGCCTGAATGGTTGTTAGTCCTGTGTGTCTGGTGAGCTGTCCAGGGTGTACCCTGCCCCACTTGGGACAAGCGTGTAAGAAAATGGATGGTTTACTGTCAGTGGATGATTTAATGGGGGGGATTCAAACTCAAAAATGTAAGTTATTACAGGGGATGGTAATCTGAATTTAAAATAACGTTTTACAGATAATCTGAACTTAAAATGATAAGTTTTTACAGACTTGAAAGTTCCAGTAACTTGAATTAAAAAAACTTAGTTGGCAGAACTTGAAAAACTTAGCTGACACAACTTAATAAGTGTAGTTCTACAAAACTTAAAAAATTAAGTTGATGCCTTCAACTCAAAAATTCTGTGCAGCCGGTTGCCTTGAAATTTTGAGTTGAACTAACTTTTTCGTTTTTACAGTGTATATAAGTGCAGGCCATTTTATTGGATTAGTGTAATTCTCTTTATTTCAGAATCAGCCTCACAAGCTGGTCTGCAGCTGTTCCAAAAGGCTGCAACACATCGTTTAACTGGAACACATCCTGATTTCTCTTCTTTCTTGCTTCCAGTGGCTTAGAGTTCATTTTAAAACCTGGCAACCTTACTGGCCGGAGCTTCTCCACTGCTACACCCGCAATCAGTCACTCAGATCCAGTTGCTCCTGGTTGTTCTCAGCTCAAAATGAAAGCTTAGAGAAGAAGGGCCCTTCCCCAGTGGGGCCCCTAAGTTACTTCAACCTCTAACCTTTCACATTTGACAAGCTTTACTGACCACTTTTAAAAATTGTTTAGAAATATACTTGTATTGATTTTTCCTCATCCGTACTAGCATTTCTTTCATCTATTTTTATTTTTGCATTTTGATTATGTTTTGAAGCAAGATTTTCTGATTTATTATTGTGTGCTTTTGATCTTCTGCACGTTGTTTCTGTAGCTTGAGTAAAAGCACCTTAGAAACAAATGTGTTAATGATGATGATGTTGATTTACTCCTCTAAAATCAGCCTTTCGGTTTACAACTTCGTGTTGATCTGCTGAATAAATATAGATAAATTATATACAAGACACAGACAATGTAGAAAAACTTCAAGGGGGGGGGGATACTTGTAGGTCTTATTTAACCAGGGATTAAAAAAAAGAAAATTTTATTTAAACCTTTTTTTTGTATCAATAATATGCAATTCTCCTTTATTTTTATCTCATTAAAATAAGAAGAACTGAATTGGCTGTATCCACTGGAGCTCTTAGCTTAACTCCTGGCGTGTCTGTTCTAAAAAGAAAAGGTCAGGACTCTTTCTATTTTTGGTTCTTTTCATTTCTTCACAGTGCAAAGCTTTCCATGTCTCCACTGTACCGTGGTTGGCGCTTTGTTTAATCCCCCCGTGTTCAGAAGGTGCAGACTGCACAGATGGAGGCCGAGAGGGCAGTCAGCACCTCCATGTGTTCACACTCTCCACACATCTCCATCACATGGACGGACACAGGGACACACGTTTTTTAGAAACGCTCCTCATTAACTTCAGAGCTGCAGCATGTCAGCACGAACACACCGATTATCTCACCCTGCCATCTCTCCTCTGCGGTCCCCTCGCTCATGAAGTCAAACTGTGTTTGACGCTCTCAGTGCAGGATGGAGGCTGTGGCTCTATTCTCTTTCGCAGCATCAGAGGCAGATGAGATCAGTTTCCAGAAGGGAGACATCGTCAAGGTAGTGAAGCATACAATCTGTGCATTTGATTTGATTTTTTTTAGAGCCTTCACATGGTACTTTGCTGTATGTCATGTTTCTGGTGCAGGTGATAGAAATGGAGGAGGACTCTTGCTGGTTCACTGCTGAGATGGAGGGAAAGCGCGGATTTGTTCCTGAGAACTACATCTCCCTTCGTCCTCATCCGTAAACCATTTATCATCCAGCTTGTGTTAAGAAGAATCTCTAGTTGCTTTTCAGAGGCTTTTTCCTTTGTGTTACTGGCATCTGTTTGTAGGACAAAAAACACATGTTATTAATTTGCAAATACAGTTTTATTCCATAGGTCTTTTGGTTTCTGTCTGTTTTCATCTTGTTTATTATGCTCTAACCGGTCTACCTGTATTTAGAAAATTACTTTCTATTGATAAGTGTCTGCAATGTGTTGATATATCAGTTAATTCATTTACTTTCTTTTTCAGTTCATTGTGTTCTGATCTCTGTGTAGTTTAGTTTTTCCCCTTACCTCAGTATCTGTCTTTTCCCTTGGCTAATAGCTTCTATCTTAATTCAGGTACCTTTATGTTAACTAGCATCCCTCAGCTTCCTTGCTTTCTTCTACCTCAGCTGGTCCATATGATTACCTCTCTTATATAGTGTTACCTGCCTGTTCCTTCTTTAGCCTGCTTGTCCCTCTGCCCATACTTCATGTTCTGTCATTTTTCTATCTGTAAATCCTTAAAAAGCACATCCAATGTTCATGCGTGTGCTTAGGTTTTAGATTGATGCACTTTTAGAATATCTAATGATTCTGAAAACCAAGATCTGCTGTGAAGTTTATTGTTCCTGTCTGTTTTCTTAGCTGGTTTGCAGGAGCGATATCAAGACTGGAGGGTGAAAAGCGTCTCTGCTGGCAGGAAACCGGAGTGTTTCTGGTGAGGGAGAGTGAATCAGCTCCAGGGGAGTTTTCTCTCTCCGTTAGGTCAGTAAATACGCCTGAACACTACGGATCTTTAATAAGGGGCAATTCAAAGCAGTACTGATAAAACTTCTGTCACTTTTTAATGTCCCCCCCCCCCCAAAAAAAAATTCAGATTTTGGTAGTTGGTTTGGATGGTCTCAGTTAAAGTTTCTGTCAATGCTTTTAAAAGCCTTCAGACTTTTTCTTAATAATAATTTACCTTAACTGATCATCAAATTTACCTCTGCATTTAACTCATGCCCTTGGGGAGCAGTGGGCTGCCATTCTGGGGCGCCGGGGGGGCAGTGTGGGGTTAAGGGTCCCTTCCTTAAGGGAACCCAGAATGGAGTGGAGGTCAAACTCAGAACCTCAGGATTCAAAGCTTTATGCCCTAACCACTAGCCCACCACATGAGCTTTATCTTTTTGCTTGTACTTTGAGTCTATGTCTGATTAATAGAGCGTTGGACAGTAGACGTAAAACAAAATGTCAGACCTCACTCTGCACTTTAATTAGTATTTGACTCATTTTCAGTTCATATGCTGACATTAATTTTCATTTATCTGTTTAAAAAGCCATAAACTTATGCCCTATTTATTGTAGATGGTAAACGAACCAAGTGATCCAGTGTTTTATTGGCCAAGAGTGGAAAATTAAACATTTCTGATTTCCAGTTTTCCTACAGCTCTAAATAATCTAATAATGATTAAACCATTGATAAATAGATAAACATCAGTATGAATACATATAGATAAATGAACACATATTACTTTATATAAAGTCAAAATTCATGACAGTAGCAAAACAATTGTATATTTGAAGCCTTTTTTAGCTGTTAGTTTTTGTAAATCTTTTACATAGGTCGGTATAGGAGGTCATTTTACACCGTTTTTTTAAGATAATAGTAGCCAGATTAGGAATAAATGTGCGTAAAATACTAGCACTACTGAAACAACAGTCTCATGTTGCTATCCTGGTAAATTCTGAGATTTCCACAATTTGAATTTTTAACTAGAGCCAGAGGTATCTAACATCATGAAATCAAAGCCTTGTTTTTGTCTTTCCTGCTATTTGTTTTCATATTACTCTCTCTCTCCCAGTTCTGAAGAGAAATTTAAATGTGAAAAACATACAATTTCTTTTTAAACAGTTTTTACGTCTTTGCTTTCTCTCACTCTGTGAAAGAATCCTGTTCTGCTAACTTTGTTGCCCTTTGCCTACATTTAGTGATCATTCAGTCCTCTTTACAGACACTATGTAAAAGAAGGGGGCTAGTAACACATCGAATGACTTTCTCTGGTTATTTTGGAGACTTCTCAAAACTCTGACAAAAAAAAGAAAAATGCTTCCCTTGCTGTCTCTGCTGCAAGCAGTCAGTCCTATTGTGGACATCCTCTCCCTTTCAAATAAAGAGTATGCTCCCTGAAAGAAATGCTGTTATTCAGGTAAATGCTGAAATATCTTTAAAATAAAAGTCTCACTATAATGGGGAAACGTTTTAGTCAAAAGTAAATAAATAAATAACTAAATAAATACAATGGAAGAGTGATTTTCAAAAAGCTCCATCAAATTTATCTCCAATAAATCATGAAGTGACTGTAAGCCATACATGGATGACTGTAGCACATAAAAGCCTGGCTCAAACCAGAGCACATTATGTAAAGCCTCCTTTTATATTTTCATCATTAACAAAATCACACTGTGTTGTAAGTAAAAGATGATTTTGTCTTTTAAAGGGACGATTCAAATGAAATATTGCATTAAAATCTGAGCACCTTTAAGTAAATTATATTGAAATAAGGGCTTAGCTTAATTCAAGGCAAATTTAGTTGTATAGCACAGTTTGTTACGAGGACAATTCCAAGTGATTTACCTGAATTAGACAAAGAAATAGAAGAAAAATGAAAGCAGAATAAAAGTAAAGACATTTGTAAAACAATTAAAACAATCGGACCACAAAAAGGCAGAACAAAAGCAAAAAAAAAAAAAGATCAAGAAATTGAAGCAGGTGGACCACAACCTTAAACTAATATCCCAGTTACCAGTTTAACTTCAACAGTCAAAGGCAGCTCTAAAAAAGAATGGGCTTATAACTAAAGATTCTCAGTCATCCAGGTCATAGTCATTCCAAAAAAAGTTAAAAAAAGATAAAAACAATCAACTGAACTTTGTTTTCCAAGTTTGAAAATGTTTAATTTCCCATCCAGGAAGCTTTTTCAATTCAAAATATCTGGATTAGCTTTGAATTTCAAGCCCAGCAAATGCTAATCCAGACATTTTGAATTGAAAAAGCTTCCTGGATGGGAAGCGAACCGTCTTCAAACTTGGAAAACAAAGTCCAGTGTTTTTTTTGTTGTTTTTTTTAAACTATTGTATCCCCTGTTATTACTTAGGTTAAAAACAAATCATAATTTAAAATAGATCTTTGGAGGATTCCTTTCTAAATTCTGAGAAAACTAGAATTACATTTATCTGTGAGAAACACACTGTGTCTGAGAAGTAACGTCTAAATCTCCCTAAAGCTTCATCACTCATCAAAATCCATCAGACTGCAGCTTCGTATCACCGTACTCACCATACTTGGATGTTTCATCAAAACATGCTGCCTTCTCAACAAAAAAGGACACATTTGAAAAATTATCTAAAGCAAAGTGTTATTTCTGTTAACAGTCTCTTACTCTTAAAGCATTGTGGAATACATTTTTTATATCAAACTTCCTTGCTTAACTCACCAAAATTTATTTTACATCTGTAGATCACTATTTCTGATTCTAAGATGGCAAAATACAGTTTTTGCAATAGTTTCAGTGATGATTGCCTTTTCATCCACAATGATTTAAATGTGTGTTAGGCCCATCAGAGCATGGAGAGTTTCAATGTGTTCAATGAGAACTCATTGGACTAAAAATATCTCTCTGACACACACATCAGGCCCAGAGTGAGGAAGAGGAGCTGTTATCTGGGTCAACAGCAAAGTGACACGGGACTCATTTAATCACTGAGGGTAGATGAAATGTGTTCAATCAGCGGGGCATTGCATAACTCCAGCCAGCTTTTTAATTATGCATAGGTATGTTATGCAACAGACACCTGCCAAAACATGCATGCTATTGTTTAAAACGGCACAACATGTGTTTGCCTGCAAAAGTTCAAAGATGGGACAGCTGTTCTGACAGGCATGATTAAACTGAACTCTAATGCAAGTTCATCAAATTCATTTATCTACATCATGTGGTGATAAAAATATATATTCTTAATTGATGACTACATCAAATTTCTATTTAATAGAACCTTCTAAACAATGTTGTGTCTTACAGGATTGAGAACAGACCTCAGGTCTTTAGTTGAAGTTTTTTTAAAACACCGACCTGATCAGGGATATTGATTCATCTACAAAAAAACATAAATTTATTAAAACTTGAATTACTCGGCAAAATCATCAAAAACACAACAAAATAAAATAAATTATTTAGGTGGTTTTATGTCTAAAAAGTTAACAGATTATTATTCTGTTTTTTTTTTGAATAAAATGTATGAATTAATTGAGAAATAATTGTAAACAGAGGAAATAAATCACAAATAAAAATATGTAAGCTTTATAAGATTTTGATAGTTGTGGCAGCAAGTGAAAAAAAGTTAAATAAGTCTATTAGAATTACTTTTTATCTTAATAGACAGCAATGTAAATAATAAAGATAAGTATCTTAATATAACTTGCCTGTTGGATTCCTAGATAAATTATTTCTCAAAAATATGTTTTACTACATGGTTCTTTTCTGTGTATGGGTTGTTCTGTCATACCCGAAGTGATCAGTAGAGGGGGCTACTATTCCAGAGTAAAACACAACTCTGATCATACTTTTAAAGAGAAATTATATTTCACACCTTATTGCATTTATAGTTTCTCAGAGGGAGCACAGGATCCCTTAAAGATGGACTTCTAAGTGTGCAGAACTTGGAAGCAGATCCCAAAACAACTTCCAAACTCACATTGGGATTGTTGTGCACTTTCATACTTGCTTCCACCCTACATTAATCTTAGATGTAAACGCAGAACTAATTAACAGATTATATGTGTGTAGGCGGATGGTTTGACTCTATAATCCTTAAACAAAACTCCGAGCCTTGCTAAAGAGCTCTAACACCTTCCCTCCATATTATCATATTATTACAGCTGCAAACCATGATGGATTTTTATTCAGATTTTCTATAAAAAAGATGATAATAAAGTTGTGTTTGACTATTTACAAAAGATATATGTGCTTTTTAAAAACAACAATTAAAGTTGTTAGAATGTTGCAGCATCATGCTGTGGGGATCCTCTTCTGCTTCGGCAAGTCAGGGATTATGGGAAAATCTATTAAGTAAAAACAAAAAAGCCAAATCCTGAAAAAACAAAACAGAAAAAAAACTGTTATAGGCTGGAAAAAACTGGATACTAGGACAGAGTTTCCCTTTCCAGCAGGACAACATAAACATACAGCCTGAGCTATTGATGGACAGATTTATTCATGTATGCCTGTTCCACCTACCTGCAGGAGGGCAGCAGCTCTCAAGGACTAGAGCTGGAGACCATGTTCATTAGTTAGAACGGCTGAGTAAAACCCAATCTGTGTAAATTTTAGCTGTTTTTCCAGCAAAGAATGGGTAACATTTTTATTCTTTGAATGTGTAAATCTGTTTGCGACATTTCCAACATGTTTATCTTTTTAATCAGATGACATTTAGGGTGTCTGACAGTATTTTCAGGGGTTTTACAGCCTCTGTTTTTTACTCTCTGTCTCCATCCATCTGGGTTCAGTGACGTTATTCTCTGGACCTGCAGTTGTCTTACCTGCTTGGTGGAGGTCTGAGGACTGCATATAAAAATTTCAAACCAGGAAACATGAACCAGTATATAGTCAAAATAATAAATCTGATTTATATGACAATAATTATTATTTGCATTATAGAAATAGTTTAGGAGTTGAGATATTTTTTCACCAACTGCAGTCTGTATTTTTCACATCACCTTCATTGTGGATTAAAGTAGGTCTGCAACTAACAATTATTTTGCAAATCGATTAATCTGACGATTATTTTTTAGCTTAATGGCTTAATAATCGGATAGCCAAGGAAAAGATTTTTTACTTAAACGAGGTGAAACTAAAACTTTTCCACTTGAGGAGATCTGCAATGACAGAAGAAAATGTTTTTGTTATCTTAAATATAAAATGTTAATATCTTTTAACAATTTTGATATAATTACAGCTCTACGTGGGTTGTTCTGTCAGCTAAAGGCCTGTTTTACAGTCTCTGCACTCCAGTTAATGATTAATCTATTACTAAATTAGTTGATGATTATTTCAATATTCAATTAATCACGATTAATCCGATTAATTGTTTCAGCCCTAAATTAAAGTTTCAAATATTTGTATTTTTTTTAATGAAGTGCTGAGTCATACAAATTGTTTTTCAAGGCAGTTCACTGAGCAAAACGATCCAAGTGATAACCATTTTGCAAAGGTCTCAGTTCCCACACTGAAAGTTATGCACAGAATGGCTCAAGTGAATTCCTGCAAACAAAGAAACAGACAACAGGAATGAAGACGAAGGGGAAGATGGAGTATAATGAAGCACACATACCTGCCTTTCATCACCTGACTTCTTTCTGCTGTCTCTTTTGGCAGCTACGGTGACAGGGTGGAGCACTTCAGGGTTCTGGAGGGGGGTGGTCAGTACTACATCTGGGATAAGGCCTTCTGCTCCCTGAACCGCCTGGTGGAATTCTACAGAGCGCACAGCATTGCTGTGGAGAAAGTGGTCCGCCTCAGGGATTTCCCATCATCCCCTAACCAACACTCCCATCCTGGACGGAACCCATACCCTAACCCGTATAAAAGCAGCTCCATAGAGTCGATCCCCTCAGCCCACCTCCACTCTAACCCCCCTCTGAGAGAGCGACAGGCCTCTGCACATTCACTGAAACCTGTTTTAGAGGTATGACACATAATAAGATGTCATTTCGCCTCAGAATCAGCTGAAAATTGCACACCTGTGTGTCTGACGCCATGGTTTGTCTTTCAGCAGAGGCCTCGGGTGGCCCGTGCTCTGTGTGACTACACCCCCTCTCAGACTACCCACCTCCACTTCCAGCGCAATGAAATCATCGACCTCCTAGACTGTTCAAGCACCCTAAGCTGGAGGGGGCGCTGTCGGGGCCGTGTTGGCATCTTTCCACCAGAGTTTGTCCAGCCACTTCACCATTAACTACAGATGCTCAGTACATTGACTAAGTTTTTGAGGCTTCTCAGCCAGGACCAGAGGCTGTTCTTGCATGAAGGGCACCCAGGGCAGCCCTTTCCCCTATTAATCAAAACGCAGAAAATCATTAAAACTGTAGGGCAAGAAGAAATGGGTTGCATTTCAAATAGTCTCCCTTTTGACAGCAGCATGTAAATAACAACTTGTCCGAAAGACCTGGTGTTAATGTGCCTCCCTTTCCTGATGCAGCCCTGGGTCGCTGCCCATATGGCTCGGATGAAAAACCGCACTGGTGTAATTGTATGCAGCTGTCAGATGTTACCCCTGCATTTCTGCCTTTTCTCTGGGTGTAATTGAATATTTTGAAATTGATATGTAAACAGTGATCCAATATATTCAACACTTATTGATCCCCTGGTGAAGATGTGTAAATAGCTTAATGATGGACATTTTCAGAAAACGTTGTTTTACGTCTAGTAAACAACAAGGTGCCAATTATTACAGCAGTTTGTCTTGTCCACCGTTTTATAAGGTTGTCATTGAGTATTCTCTTGTTTATTTTATGATGTTAATCACAAGAATCCCTGCAATAAATACAAATATATCTCTCAGCACTTTGAGACAGTTGTACAACAGAAGTTGGACTTATTCTGTTTTTTTTTCTTCTGTGTTGTTTCTAAGAAAATAAGAAAAAAAGTGTCGGTTTTTGTCCATATTCCCCTGGATGGTTTAAGTCAACATTTCCAAAAGTCCAGGTTGTAGGAAAGTCTCCCAAACCCAGAACACCAAAACGGAGAGGGAGGAACTCCACACCAAACCCAACCTAAAGTCAAAATCCAACATGGCTGCTGTGTCCTTGTTATAGCTGCAGTCATAAATAATTACATGCAAATTAGTTTTTTTTTTTTTATCTTGCACCCAGTTGCAAACACATGGACAACCTCTACTTGTAAACAGATTCCCTTATTGTTTGAAAGCTAAAATGTAGAGACATGCAATTAAAATTACTCATACTACCGGAAAATGTGAATGAATCTTAATTTTACCGACTTCTTTCTTCTCACAGGTAATGCTTTAGAGTAGTCTGCTGTTAATCTGTCTGATAATCCACTAAATTATTGTTGAGCCTATTTCTTTTCTTCTGCTGGGTTCCATGTTTGCAGGCTGCCGCCCTTTTGTTGACATAAAATACCAAATTCCGCTGTTTTGGCAAGCCTGGGAATTCCCATCTGATTGAATCAGGAAACAGGAAACAAAGACACCGCACCCAGATTTTTCCACATCATACCTTTAGGATTGAAAGTGACATTTGACTAAGAAATTGTTGATGGAGAGGGTTGAATGTTGACAGGTATTGTTCCTTCCATTCCAGGTAAAAAATGAGAATGATTTTGATTAATTTTACAGTCTATTTTTAACTTACTGGCCCTTTAAAGACGCACTCATCACTGAAGATAAACTGTGGAGATACCAGTGGAAATGTACAAAAAGATTATTTGCATTCATAAAGGAGAAGGGTATGGATCAGTTTAAAAAAAAAAATTTTTGTTTGAATAAATGTAGATTTTTAAAACTTTTTGTTCCAGAGTTTCCACTATTTTGCTATCATAAAATGATCTTTCCAGAGATATTTGTCTGTATTTCCTGGAAGAGAGAAACTGAATATTGGATTAAACTTTAAACTGAATTTAATTTGTAATGCTAACTATAATTAGCCTGGTTTCTGAAGCCAACAATCATCTAATCTAACCGAATTTTCCAAGTTATAAATTGAACCCAGTTATGGTGTATTTTAAGCTGTATTTTCAAATCAAGATACTTCAGAAGTAAATGAAGAGCACCAGTAGCCTACTTTAGCTTTTTTCTTGAAAAGTTTCCAGATATTCTCCTTTGTAGTTCTCTTTGAAATAACTATATCTTTGAAGTAAATGAAATATGCTTCAAGTATTGTGTTTGCTCTAGATTGCAGTTTATTTTATGATGAAATAACTTGTAAACGGCTCAGACTAAAAGGCAAGTAACGTCGTTTGTTCCTGTAACACAGACTGAAAATCAAAGCTCTCTATGATGAAGTGAGGCGTGAAACGGAAAAATGTTAAATGTTTATTTAGCATGTTGTTTTATAAGACCCATTTCCAGTTTCTTAGCTAAGACATTACATTGGTATCATTCTCAGAGCTTTCAGAAACCACTTTGAGTTTTGTTGTTTTTATTTACTTTAGATTATTAATCTGTACCATTTGATAATTCCTCAACAAGAAATATAGTGATCTAACCTTCTAACCTAATTATAACAATGATATTTAACTCACTGATCATCAGATGTTGATTTAATATACATTTGCACCTTTAATGGAAACCTTAAAATACATTGAAATATAAAGAGTTTATGGAAAAAACTTTCATTTTTTTATCATCTCATCTTTGATGTGCAATCCTGCAGCATTACCAGCTGCAAACTGATCCGTTAAATTTAGATTTTATCCTTCCGAAAGATTCCTCTACATGAATTGATTGTATTTATTGCTTGTTTCGCAAACATATTTTTTAGTTCATTGGAAATATAATAGAAATAAAATAATAGAAATTTTGTGTAAAATATCTGTTTCACAGAACATCTTAAAAAGTTGAACACATGTGACATTAAAACAATATTTGATTTTATTTCAAAAGTCATTGTTAAAGGAATATATACTCTATTGTAAATCAGTGTGAATATTCAAAAATTAACAATGTTTATAAAAAAAAAAATACCTGAAGTCACAAATGGTTTACAGACAAAAGGATGATGACTTACCAGAAAAACTAAAGAATTTTTGATTTTTCAAATCAATCATAAAAGTGACTTACGGTAAAAGGCCTAGAACAGATGTATAAAAAGGGTTAAACCTAAATTTAACAAATATTTGGGACAAAAAATAAAAGCAGCTTGTAAAATTTTTCTAGTACCCGTATTTTCACGACTATAAGGCGCACTTAAACGTCTTTTTTTCCCCTCAAAATGTGCGGTGCGCCCTATGGTGCGGTGCGCCCTATGTGTGTTGTAACTGCGACTTTTGAGACCACCTCATTGAGGAGATGATGAAAGAGTGGCTGAATGTAAGGAGACCAGGTGTTTTTTTTCCACTCATCACCATCGCTGTTAATATGTAACTCCATGCGTGCCCATCTCACAGCTGATGTGAAAAACATGGGGAAACAAATTAACCCTGTGCTCGCTGTTCAACCGCTCGACATCGGTGTGAACCGGACCCAGCAGGTGCAGCAGAAGCAGCGAGTTTACATGCAAAGTTAATGGTTGACGCGCGTATAGGTGCAGCAAAAGGTCCCGCAGCGCGTTTTGAGCAGCAGGTGCAGTGCGTCGGGAGCGTTTAAGCATCTGACGCCAACGCGCTGCTGCTGCTCGAGATGGAAAAATTTTTGCTCCATCTCGAGCATCTGGACGCGCCGCATCAACCAATCAGAGAAGCTGATCTGGGAGCTGACAGCGAGACAGACAGCGCTCTGATGACATATGATATTAAATGAAAAAGGCTGGATGGATGAGGAGATGATGAAAGCTTGGCTGAGGCAGGTGTATGTGAGGAGACCAGGTGCTTTTTTCCACGCATCACCATCGCTGCGTGCCCATCTCACAGCCGATGTGAAAAAAAAGGTGAATCAAATGAACGCTGTGCTCGCCGTTATCCCGGGGTCTGACAAAGGAACTTCAACCGCTCGACATCGCTGTGAAGCGGCCATTCAGAGTAAGGCTGCGAGCGGCGTGGGAGCGATGGATGACCGACGGAGACCACAGTTTCAGGATAAGTGGAAGGCAGCGCCGGGCAAGTTAGGCCACAGTTTGCGGATGGATTGTAGATGCTTGGACTAACGTGTCTGCTGGCTCTGTTGTTCAAGCTTTTGCAAAAGCCGGCATTATTTCTGAGGAGCTGCGCTGCACGGAAAGTGACTGACAGCGAAGAAGGGGAAACTGGCATGTCTGATTTAGTGCAGCTGTTTAATTCAGAAACAGAGGATGATGACTTTGATGGGTTTGATTAATACTTTGTAATAAATACATGAATAAAGCACAGTCATACTCAGTTTTGCTCCCGCTCTATTTTTCTACCTGAAAACTTAATTCAACAGCAGCCTCTGGGCGGGTCTCCTCCTCTTCACCGCGGTGGCTGGCAGGTGTTTTTTCATCTAAATAATCTAAATCTTGCAGCTATATTTGCTGTGATCAGTGGGAATAAAGTAGTTTTAATATGTTTTTAAGTGAGAAAGTCCACCTGAAAACTTAATAATTGCAGTCAGTTCATCCAGATTATCTATTTCTGTCGGAGGCGCTCAGACCCCCACATACCAGCGGTGCACCGACAGTAGGAATCCCTTCATCAGCAGCCTCTAGGCTGGGCAGCCTCCGGGTTCACGCGGTGGCTGGCAGGTGTTTTTCATCTAAATAATTTAAACTGCAGGCACCAGGATACCGGTAATAAAAGCGAACATATTCCGTCGGCAGGTTTCAGGATTTTAAGTTAATTTAGGAGTGATCACAGTGCTGTGTCATCTGCGATGTGTCTGTCTCACGGCCAGCACCCAGGTTTGATTAATACTTTGTAATAAATACATGAATAAAGCACAGTCATACTCGGTTTTGCCCCCGCTGTATTTTTAAATACGCAGTAGAGGTATTTAAAGGTAGTAGAGGACATGTACCTGTATATAAAAAACGCGCCCTATAGTCGGGTGCGCCTTATGTGTGTGTTAAAGCTGCAGTCTGTAACATTGAGGAGAGAGCAGACTTCAACTGAAAATTTGAAGAAAAACAGGTTTCACGCCACCCCCCCACCCTCTCTGCTTCACTCAAGCTCCACCCCTCTCACAGCATCTGCGCGGCTACCGCATGCCACCAGAAAAGGGGGGGGGGGGGATTCAGCGTGTGTGAGCTGTGATTGACACTCCATCAGACGCTCCTCTGGCTGTGATTGGTTGTTTTGACTCGTCCCGAATTATTCTTTCCAGATTGAAATACAGGCAGTAGGCGGTACCAAGTGAAGCAGTTTTTTTCACAGGTTACATATCACATGTACTGCTGTCTGGGCATAGGGACAGTTTTAGCCAATATGACAAAAAAGTGATTTTTAAAAACGTACAGACTTCAGCTTTAAATACAGAAATGGGACACATAACTGAGAGTGCGCCTTTTAGTACGGTGCGCCTTATGGACGTGAAAATACGGTAAATGTTTTCATTCAAAAGGCAAAATTTCTGTATTTTTCTCCACTCAATTTTTTCTGTAAAGACAATTTTTAGGCTATAAATTCAAAAGTACTGGTAAGAGCCTTTGCATATTAAAACTGCTACAGCTGCAGAATGTGATGATGACAATTCATGGATGAATGGTTCAAAAAACATGATGGAAATAAAGTCTGGTAAAGCTTTCCCGGAGAGTGAAGGAGATATGAATATCTTTTCCAATCATCTTTATCAAATCTTTCATTTTTACTTCATGTTTTTACTTTTTCTGGATGTATGTTTGTGTTTTTGCTTTTCGTGTTTCATATTAAATAAGGATCTTATTTTTACAATTATAAATACTAAAATAATAATAATAAATCATAACCGTATGAAAT